TTTGAACTGAAACTTGAAAATGAGCATGCTAGACTCAGAAGTCAAGGAGTGGGGATGCCAGGTAGTGGAAATACTCCAGGGGGATCCTGATGACTAAAGAGAACATGACATATTTAGATTTATACTGAGTGTGAGAGAACTGAGTGGGGCCATGGAGCTGGTTTACCAAATTTGAGGCTGAATGGTTGTCAGGTAGTAAGAGTATTAACTAGATCCTGGAAACTCAGAAAGCCATAAGGAAAGATCAAAGACAGTGAAAGTGTTCTCTCTAGGTTAGAAAACACATAATCCTAAACACAGGCAATGGCAATGGGAAGGAGAGCATTGGAGACACATTAGTGTGTCTGGGTATGAGTAATGGGGGCAAAGGAGGAATCAGGTGATTCCAGTGGGATCTTTTCCTTCACTTTCCTTTCCTTCCAAGATGGCAAGGCTGTCATTAACATATATGGTGCATTGTGAGAATTATTAAAAGATAATGACTCTTGACAGATGAATGGTAAAAAGTGATCATCAGTGGGCAGAAAATTGCAAAAAAAAAAAAAATGCAGCTTTTCCCAAGATTTCCCAAACCTGTCAGTGCTTGGCAGTATGGACTGGATTTCTGTTTCCACTTGTCCACAGAACATTCTTTGTGAAATAAATGGACTGTAGAACCAGGAGACTACACCCTGAATCGCTTTTTATTGGAGGAAGCCTATTAGGTGCAGAAAAACAGTTAACACCAAATAAAAATATTTTGCTTCTGCTTCGCTAAAATGAGCCAAATTAACAATATGTAGTTTCTATAATGTTTAGAGCCAAGCAGACATTTATGAAATGTTATATTACCAAGTGTTTTTTTTCCCCAGCAATTTAAGGAATATGTTAATAATATTTCATGGGAAAACACTTTTTTTCTCTATGTATGAAGAGATCAGTTGTTTTTCTGTATTATTTACATTATATTTTCGACCAGCATTTACTTCTATAGAAATGAATCTCCATTTTAATAATGGGGATTATTGAAAAAAAATGTAGTATGAAGAATACAAATGTAGTTTTTAGCTTTCCAAAGTGCTTTGTTTTGAAGTGTACTTTTAAGAACAACAAAAACTTATCTTACAAAATATCATCAAATTTCTCTTCATATACATTAGTAGGTTGGTAAAATCTGTAGGAACGATACAACTCTAAAAGAAGACAAAATTAACTGGATGCAAATATGAATATCTAGTTTGAGGCATTAAAATGAAATCCTATATCAGAATTCATACTTAAGTAAAATTGACAGCACTGATGAATGCTACTAGTGCAATTGATATCATTGATCCTGCAATTGGGAATAGAATGGAGAGGGCAAATACTTTTATTACAGATAACATCGGTAAGTAAAGTAGGCGATCAGTCCCCTACATAACAGACATAGAGTATTTTATATTAATGTTGTTTCTATTGTAGAGAAAGGATCACATTAGCTGGAGATAGTAACATTATCCTGAATTTAAAGATGAATTCAGTAGTAAAAAAGCTTGGAATCATCCACAGAAAACATATGTGATAGTGTTCATAAAAAAATTACAACATAATTGTAACTAAACATTATTTATTGCTACTTAATTTAACCATATTCATCTTTATATCCTGGGATTCTAGCCAATGCCTGATATTTAGCAGGTGCTTTGAAAATGTTAAAGCAGTCATTAATGGAGCATGCATTACAATAATATTATCTCACTGATTTCTGGGTTGTGCTGTCTTGGCCATGGTATTAACAACATAAAGAAACTAGACAGCAAAGCGTACCCAGAAGGTTTTGTGTTCTTAGCAGCTTAAGTGGTTTGTGACCCTGAAGATGACCTGCCAGATGGAAAACATGAGAGTAATAATGATAATTAGGATCCAGATCAACAAAACTAACTTGCACGTGAGCAAGAATGGGTAAAGTCATTACTACAAAAACAACAAAAATAACAATAATATCATAAACACCTTCCAGTATAAAATCATCTGTAAGTACATTATGACTAAAACTGAGTAAGGAAATTTAAAAATGTACCTCATGTTCATATTATTTTTCCTATTATTTGTAAATGAAATGTTAGTGGAACGATATGAATACTGTTAGAAATTCTTGGCATTTCAACTTGTTTTCAGGTTTTTCTTATATATACCTAATTTGTGGTGATTATGCATTAAAATACATTGAACAAGCTGAATATTCTTCTTTTAAATAAATATTTGAATTTTGTACCTTATTTTTAGTGTAGTGAAAGTTCTGGTTAAATTACATGAAGTGTTTGGACTAAGACAGTGGCAGTAGGATTTCAGTGTCTGCAATTTTGGTACCTGTGGTATCTCTTACCACGAACTAATGCATTTCAAAGCATTCGGTGTTTACAATCATTTAGAGTCATTTTTGATTATCAAATTGTAAAATAGTCAATAAATATTAGCCTATACTCCATTTTAAAAATTTTATAAAAATATTTTTGATGTTGACCTGACTATTGCCAGTCTTCTTGTCTGTACCAGATCAGTAAACTTCTGTGACTAACACTGGAAATGAATTAATTACTATGTAAACATAAAAAATATGAAATATTTTAAAATTAGAGACAATGCCCTGGCAATTAATTAGCATATATTTTGGAATTCTTGAAAAACTTAATTTTTTAATTTTTATAATTTTTCATAATTAATGTGGAAGTTTCATATAGATTTTTTAAATAAAAAGCCCACAACTCTTCATATTATTATGTCCTTATTTGTTTTCCCTTCACTCATCTTGCTTTTATTTTTGTGTTTGAATTATTTGAGATTAGCACAAGCCTGCAGAGTAACCATGTTGGCATTGTTCTTGCTAATTAATCAAATGGCACTTCCTACTTATTTTAATTATACGAACTAAAAGAGTTATTTTTAGAAAAATGTTGGGAATAAATGAATACTATTACATTTAGTATCTTTACACTGCTTTTTAAAAATTGCTCTCCTTTTTTGAACCATAAGGATATATTTTACGATTCATTTTATTGCTGAGATGTTAAATAGAAAAGGATAGTAACAAGTCAGTTTACACAAATTTTGTTTTAATTAGTTTTTTAGTAATTTACAGTAATTACTAGCAACTAAAATATGTTTAATTATTATACTCATTTTTTATATACTTTATTCTAGTTATATAAGCCATCTGTCTGATGAGTTTTTAATCTGTTGCTTGTGGTAACAGGCACTAGATTATGGTTCAACATTGACTGCTCTTTAACAATGAAAAAGGATTTTTAAAACACTCAACCTTAATGCATTCTTTAACAATACAGTTCACAGTAAAACTGATGGAGTGTAATGCTCTTCTTGAAAAATTGAAATGTATACTTTTCCATTTTGAAACTATATTAGATACTCAGAATATTACATTTATATAGAAAATGAGTTGCAATTTATATATATGTATATAAATATTATAAATACATACATATGTGTATACACATAAAGTCTTACTTCTCATTTCTACAGAAAATAAATTGATTTATTTTCCAGTTGTAACACCCACTGACAAGATGCAAATTTATAGTTTGTACCTGTGTTTTTTTTTTAATTATGTAAGTGCATGCAAAGGCTAAAGAAAAGTAGCTTAATGTATTCTTAATGTCCTATTTTTTTCAAAAGGTTACTAAGTTCTTTTGGGATATAAAATTTTAGTTGTTTGGACTTAGTAAATAAAAAGGTTAATATTTCTTCTGAAAAAAAAGAGAAAAAAGTAGTTTAGTTTTATCTTATTTTTAATTTTGAGTTTTTAGGTATTTTGCTGAACTGAACACAAATTGGAGTGAGAAATTTAAGAACAGAATATATGACTAGTGGTTTTATCCATAGAGTATGCTTAGTGGTTAAAGTACTACAAGAAAATTATGGAGTTTTGTTTTAGTTTTCAATGAATATGGGGTTAAATTGTGTTCTTGTTTTAATCTTATAAAATACAATGAAAAAAATATTCACTTCATAGGAATTTCATTTATAATTGCCTTTGCTGAGTTTCACAGTCCTCTTGCAGAGTGAGGTATGACTATATATTCATTTTTAAAGATGTAATAAGAATTTCAATTGGCACTTATATGCAATGTGTTATGCAAGTAGATTGACTGTGGAAGAATATTTGGATATGAAGCTGGGATACAGCAGGAAGAATACCAGCCCTGCACTCAGAAACCCTGGTTCAAATTTTAGTTCTGCTTCTATTTGTTACTTTGTCAGAGGAGCTTCACCTCATTGAAACTCTGGGAGCATACAATGATTCCTCTGCCTATAATTAATTTGCAATTCCTCTCTCTATAATATAAACTAAACGAGGGACTATATGTGAAAATCCTTTAAAATTATGAAGTGCAGTTTTATTTGTATCATTTTTCTTATATACAAAGTACTGTGCTCAATGCCTTATCTCATTTAATTCTCAAAACAGTGATATCCAGTAGGCATTATTAGTAGCCTTATATAATGAATGAAAAAATTGGCATTGTCCAAAAGGTAGTGAAACCAGGACACAGCCTTGCTGAAACCACTGCCGTTAGCTAGTATGCTTTAGCATAGGATTTTACTTTTATTTTTACATTTTGTTTTCATGCCAACACATCCTAGAAATGAAGCTAACCATGTTAATCATGAAATATTTTAGCGACAACGTAGTTCTTTTAGTTGTATTAGTCATATTGTTCCTATGGCAGTTACTTCTATTTTCCAAATTAAAAAGACAAATTATTTTTAAAAACCCATTGTAAAATATAAATTGATTTTTTTCTAAATTTTTGTGAAGGTTAGCTGTATAGTGTTGTGAAATTATTTCACTACTTTAGGCATTAATTACCTCTTCCCTATCTCATAGAGTTATTTTTGTATATTTTAATTAGTGTGTTTTAAGTATGCAATGTGCAAACAACAGTTCATAGTACACAATAAGCTTATGTGGCATATCGAATGCAGAAATTGCACTAGTTTTTCATATTTCATTCTATCCATACCTCTTTGCAATGGGTCTTTGCAAACATTTCCATCAGGAGGTGGGATTTGTTTCCCACACTTGAGGCTTGTTTTGTTCCATAGAGCGCCATTTCTAACCTAAGCCTCAAAAGGACTAGTATGTTCTGTTCTTTCTTTTGGATTACTGCTGCCTCTATCAAAATATTTCTGAGCCATTGTAGAGGAAAATGAGACATCCTGTAGAGTAGAGCCTAATTATACACCAGTCCAGTCTGTTGTCAACCCACCAGATGTATGAGTAAGTCCAGCTTAGCTGAGCTAAGCTGAATCCAGATAGGTGGGGCTTCTCAGTTGACCAAAAGAGCCTGTTTAGAAGAAAAAAAAGGTGTTTTAAATGCTTGTATTATGGGGTGGTTAGTGCCATAGCAATAGCTAAGTGATACCATGTGCAACAAACAAACAAACAAACAAACAAAAAACAGAAAAAGGGTAAGTATTATTAGGATTCTCATATATGTAATAAACTTCTTGAAAATGGTTAGCTAATTCAGAGGCTATATTATACATTACATACCTTACATTACCTTGACTATAAGGTAATTTTTTAAAAAAAGATTTTCAATAAATCCATAGCAACACAAAACCATAAAAAGGGAAGGGGGTGGGAGGAAAGGGAGAGATAAGGAAAGGAAATATAGAAGAATAAATAGAAGAAATAATTAGAGGGATTCTAGTTATGTAAAAATAGGTTTTAAAAGAAATGCATGAGATTTAAGGTAATGGGTACCTTATCTGATATAGGTAATTAATTCAATCAGCTAAATGGGGAGATGGGGCCATTCCCAGAGAGGTGGGATATATTTTGAGTTTGCCTGATACTTTAGGCTTCAACCTGTGTTAGGATGCTTATGAGCAGAACTGCCCTCCCCTCCTTTCCCTCTCTCCCCCCAGAGTGGATATTTAATGTGCTTCTAAATACATGTGTTTGACAGCCCCAATGAGGATATTAACCAAAACTCTCAGTACAATCTTGTCGACATATTAAGTGGCACTCTCTGAGAATCTATATAAAAATATTTTTCAGTTTTCAGAACACAGACTCTTTTCTCTTTACTATATTTAGCCAATTGCAAACACAGTTGGCCACACTGAGCTTGAGGAAATACTTCAACACAAAAAAGAATAAGGAACAGTGAGCTCACCTTGCTCAAATTTGGCATTGAAAGAGTGTTTTTCAGTTCAGAGCAAAGATATTTACATTTGAAGATATATACTTGTCCAATTACTCTCTCCATCCTTGTTATTCACGTTGTGGTGCTTTAGATAAGGGCATGTTCCTCCACTGCAATCTTCTTATTAAATTAACTTTATTTTCAAGAAGCTCTAAAGATGAAAAGCACTCCGGATGTTAAATATCATTTAAATATTATATGAAGTGCTTCTCAAGTGTTACATTTGTAGGTAGCAGGAAAGAGAGAAACAGGTAGGCAGTTTGAACAGAAGGCTGAAGGGCAGCTTAATGGCATTCTCAAAATTTTTGAGGGCTGCTTTGTGTAGGATCAAAAACAGCTATTCTCTGTTGTCCTGAGGGACTTTACAGTAGCAGAATATGAGGAAATGCCATTAAACAGCAACAGAAAGGACCCCCAAATAATAATGTATTCTTTCAGCAAAAAATAAACAAATGTTTATTGCATGCCTTCTGGGTACAGTCCTGTTCCAGGTGCTCAGAATTAAATGAACAAACCAGACAAAAATTCCAATAGTCCTTTTAATAAATATCACTTCTTCCTTGGTGACTCATATGTTCTAACCCTAAGTCCGCTTCTGGTACCTGGGCCTCACTGTTACTGTGGAGCCACACAATAAATGGAGATATTGTGATCTCTGCCCCCTGATGCAAAGGAATGTTACCAGCACCAGCTGGTCATCCAGGTTTCCAGCTTGTTCTTTGTGGGAAGGTTGTCAAAAGAGATATTAGGCATGTTGCATTGGCTGATTTTAAAACCCCCCTGGTCTTCAATTGTAGTGAAGAGCTATCGTAACAAAACTGGCATGGCATTGGCACCAAACAGACATGAAGACCAATGATACAGAATAGAAGACAGAAACAAACAGACATAAATACAGTTATCTCATATTAGACAAAGGCACCATATACATACATTGGAGAAAAGATAGCTTTTTAAATAAATGGTGCTGGGAAAACTGGAAATTCATATATAGTAGAATGAAATGAAAAGATTATCTCTCTCTCTCACACACACACACGCACACACACACAAACACACACATACAAACACACAAATAACCCATCCAAAAGTGGGCAAAGGAACTAAATGGACACTTCTTGAAAGAAGAATATGAATATATAAAAAAAACGTGCAACATCTCTAGTAATTAGAGAAATACAAATTAAAATTACACTGAGATTCTACCTCACAACAGTCAGAATGGCAACAATCAAGAATACAAGTAACAATCAATGTTAACAAGGATGTGGGGAAAAGGATACACTCATACTTTGCTGGTGGGACTGCAAATTGGTGCAACCACTCTGGAAATCAGCATAGAGATTCCTCAGGAAACTTGGAATAGAACCACCATTTGACCCAGTAATTCCCCACCTCGACATCTACCCAAAGGACTTCAAATCAGCATACTACAGTTATATAGCCACATCAATGTTTATAGCAGCTCAGTTTACAAAAGCTAAGCTATGGAACCAACCTAGCTTCTTTTCAACAGGTGAATGAATATTGAAATTGTGGTACATATACACAATAGAATATTATTCAGCTATAAATAAGAATGGAATTATGGCATTTGCTGGTAAATGGATGGAACTGGAGGCTATCATTCTCAGTAAAATAAACCAATCACAAAAAAAAAACTAAAGACCAAATGTTTTCTGTGATATGCAGATGCTGACTCACAATGGGCAGGGATGGGAGAGGAGCAAGGAATGGAGGTTCACCAGGTTGGACAAAGGGGAGTTCGAGGAAGGGAGGTGGAGATGGGAATGGGAAAGACAGTACAATGAATTGTGTATAACTTTCCTATGTTCACATGTGAATACACAACTAGTATAACTCCATATCTTGTATAACCACAAAAAAGGGAAGTTATACTCCATGTGTGTATGATATGTCAAAATACATTCTACTGTCATGTATAATTAAAAGAAAGAAAAAAGGAAAAAAAAGGACTCAAAATTACATCAATAAAAGAAGTATACAGGAGGTAAATTAAATGACAATGGCTTAAGTAGATTAACTTCTAAGACAAGTAATTTGCCATTTCAAATTTCAAAATTTTTCCTTCGGTTTCTAATGACATATGTGATTTTGTTGTTGGGACATTACATTCATGGACTCTGAAGAGCTGGAAAGATGGAGGCTGAACCAGCAAGCCTCTCTCTTTCAATGAACTTGTGCTCAGAATGCTCAGATGTGTAAAAGGTTGCCACAGTTTACACATGCTACTTTCAAAGTTAACATTATGTTACCTGTTGTTCCATGATCTTCTTCCATTAGCTTTAACCCAGAAAATTTTTAGTATCTTCAGGCTCCATAGAAGTGATGAACACTCATTTTTTTAAAAAATATTTTTTTAGTTGTAGGTGGGAACAATGCTTTTATTTTTATTTATTTATTTTTATGAACTCCTGAGAATCAAACCCAGTGCCTCACCCATGCTAGGCAAGTGCTCTACCACTGAGCCACAACCCCAGCCCCACTCTGAATGCTCTTTAAAAAGCACTACTCAGAGAACAATGTCAAGGAAAGACCTAAGGCAGCTGCTGATCTACCCTTCTGTCCACACAGAAGATTTCTCTTAAAAACCAAGGGTGAGCTTTATACTGTTAAAAAATAACAAATAACCATTATTATCCAAATGGTTATGACTTTCATATAACTCTCTCCAAGTAATACATCATCAGGGAGAAACTGATGGAGCTCTTTTGTTTTCAAAGTTAGCCACACAAATATTTTTTATTTCCTGATGATAGATAAGTAATAGAGACAATTGAAGTATAATAATAGTAATAGAAGACATACTGTTAATTGTAAAAGCCACTTTATAGTGAATATTCACTTTTTACTATAAAGAAACCATTACTGATTTTCATAGTAACCCCAGGAAGTTAACATTTTAGTTCCTATTGCATAGATGAGTAAGTTAAGCCTCTTGAAGTTTGGTCAGTTTTTCAAGGTCATACTTAAATGTTGCCTAATTCTAAAACTCCTTCTTTTATCCTTTGCTGTTACATAAATGCTAACTTTTTACAGATAGCAGTTACTTTGCCACTGTGAGTGCCAAGTATTTCCTCTATAGATGTTGATCCTGCTGTTAGGGAGTAAATTCTAGCCAGATCCACCATGGCAAGAAAGTAACACAGTAGATAAAAGGCCAGCCAATTGTGGAATACACATAAATGTTCTCACTGTCCTGCTGTTGTTTGTTGTTGGTTTTCCCAAATTACAGTTCTTTCCTATTTTTTTGTCTTGGATATTATGATTATAACATCACTGAACTTTTGCACCAGTGTTTCTATATTTCTTATCTGTTTTCCCTCTATCCATTATTTGATAGAAATTGTCTGGATGTTTCCAAGATGGCCCCAGGGCAGCTCAGATTCTTTGTAATCTTGGAATGATTCCTTCATGGAGGAAAGGTATGGATTGGGGAAGGATGCCTGGAAAGAGTGTGTGACCTTGTATAGGGGAAGCAACCTAGAGAAGCAGGCCATAATTTATCCATGATACTTAATGTTGTGGGATGATTTAGGTAGAATACAATAAGGACATGTCAGGTTCATATTGTCTTTTGCCTGCTAAGGTAGAGTGAATTTTAAAATTACTGGATTGCTGGTTTCTGGATACAATGATAACATGCTAGACCCAGAGTAATATTGTAAGGAATAAAACTTGGAATGATAAAAAATACACACACACACACACACACACACACACACACACACACCTCTTACATATAATATGGGAAAAGTGCTGTAGTCTAGTAAATTGTATCTATTGCTCATGATCAGCTTGTTCTTTATAGCCATAGGTACAAATAGTAGTTTGTTGAAACGGAAGGAAATAGGAGCTAAAATATATATCAGAGATTC